ATCTAATCCTGACCATAGAAAATATTACAAGATAAAGGGAGTTGAGATTATTCTTTGTTCTTTCAGCAAATATTTATCAAGAGCCTACAACTGACAGACACTTTGTAAGGCGTCAAGGATATAGTGTGAAAAATCCAGGCAATTTTGCTGAGGAGCATGTAGCCAATAGGTTGGGAGAGGAAAGAGGGATGAGTAGATGTAAGAGTCCTTTCTTTCGCCTTCAGTGAGCTACAGATAATATATTTAAACATACTCAGAAAAACTCAAAGTGCTGAGTCATATAATGATGAATAGCAATAACTACTACAGTATTATTTTTATTATAGATGATATAGATGATTCCCAAAGAGGTACGGCAGTTTATCTTTATACGAATTCTAGTCTGATCTAGTAATATTCTGGAACATCCAAATTTTGAAATTCTCTATCAGATAAAATAAAATCACTTTTTAAAAAAAAGACTATTGGGCCTATAAAACACTTCTCACGCTGTCCAATGTTCACCCATCTTCCACAGTCACAATGTTTATATCCTTGTTTTCCATTAAAGCTTACCTCAAAATTTTTTTATACAGGACAGACATTGATTATTGAAAATTATAAATAGACAAATAAAAATGGGATTCTGAGAGTCATTTTTCTTCTCTGTCTATGTTTTCAAATATTTCCTCAAAGAAGAAACTGAGGCTCACAGAGGTTTGGAGATTTTTCCAAGCAGTCGTCTATACCTGTTTCCTCCTTCTGAAACATTTGTGATAGGAAATCACCTATCTGAGCAGTTTTGGAGCAGCCCTGTGCAGGAAGCAAAATTAGAATGGACCCATTCTTTAAATTTATGACCCATATTTCTAACTCGAGTTCTACTTCAGTGGAAAAACTAGTATTGCAGTCTTTTAAATCGTTCTTTATTTTGTATTTTGTTAAAAATAGATTTTTTTTGACAGGTAAAGCTGATCCAGAATGCATGTTTACTGATACATTAACCATCACTTTTTCTTTTTTGCTAGATTGACTCGACACTATTGTAAGTATACACAGCATCTTGACAAAGATTTCCCACAAGCTCCAGGTAAAACTATCTCCTGCCTCTCCATAGCCTCTCCCCTGCACAGAAACATTTCTATTTAGGAAATACAGAATAATTTAGTTTTCAGTACAGGTTTCTTTATGGCTGACTGAAGATATATGAATTTAAACATGCTGCTTCTAGAAATATATGAAGAGAACTGAAAAGAGGCATATGCTACATATTAGAAAACGTGAAACTAAGAGAGGTTAAATATAGAATATCTAACGCTACATGCTGAAAGAAATAAATGAAATTGCTGTAGAGTTGTGTGAAAAAAAAATTACAGCAATTGCACGTCTCTGATTTTTCAAGACAGTCCTAATTTCAAATATTTGTTCCTGTTGTTAAATCATGTGTCCTTACTTTTCTTTAGAGAATTGTGTCACTGCAGAAAAAGCGTGTTATGGAAACTAAGGTGTTCCGGTAGTTTATAGGACAAAAACAGTGACTGGGAGATAACAAAAACCTCACCACCAAACATGTAACTTCCTCCTACCTCTTGGTCTCTGCACCTTATCATTAGTCTTTTATTTTCTAAGAGACTTTGTTATCATTTAACACCTTTGGGAGTAGTAGCTTACCTAATCCTGACTCTCAAGTCTTGCTACTTCTATCTCAATCCTAAAGCCATGACCTGGATCTTATCATCATGATCAGTCTCTTCTCTTAGCTTCTCTCCACCGCCTTACCTTCCCTGAGACCTGGCTGTTGTCCAGGGAATTGCATTCCCCGCAGCCCTCTCAATCTACAGATCTTTAGTCTCTCTTGTACTTCCAACCTCAGGGGTGGGAAGTGAGCTCAGGGACCTCCTTGCTCTCTATGTCCCCCTTCCCTGGTATTATTCACAATTAATGTATTTTAAAATGCCCCCTTTTTGCATAGTTCGTTCCTTGCTAGTGGAAAAATCTGCTACCTGGTAAGCTTTCTGCCTGGAGGAAAGCAGAATTTAATGGCAGTAAAGTACAAAATAATAGCACATGATACTAAAGAACTATTGTAGAGGGAGCAGTTAAATAAGCTAGAAGAGAAAGTTATGGTCAGAATGGAATTAATTCTTCAATGAGTCATTTAGTAGGTAGGGGAGTTTCAGACGACAGAAACGTCACATAAAGTGAGAGAGGTCACTGGAGATGAGGGAGTCAATGCTGGAGGAGTGTGACACAGGAGTTAGCTTAGACAATATGAGGGAGAAAAAATAAGAATGAGTAGGAATATAAGAAGATTTACAGATATGTAGACAAGAATTGGAAGACGCTCCAATCTGATGGCTCCTACTTACTTTTTCAAGTAGATGTCATCTAAGAGAAAAGAGATACATGGATAGTTTGGTGGTATGAAGAGAGGCTATGATACAAGACTTGAAATGATCATTGTGAAGAATGTTCTAGTGGTGGGTCAGGGAAACAGTATGAGTTTTATGGAATCCAGAGCATAAGTGATATAAGTGATCACTGTGCCCTATTAAGTCCATCTGATTACCTCCTGAGTCAGTCTTTCTGTACTGTACAGTAATATCAGAATCACCTGGAGGGCTGGTTAGCTACAGAGGGTGGGGCCCCACTATCCTGGAGTGTCTGGTTGAGGAAGTCTGGAGACGGGCCCAGGAATCTGCATTTCTGGCAGGGTCCCAGGTGCCGCTGCTGCTGCTGGTTCTGAGACTGCAATTTGAGAACCACTGCTCTAAGTCTTTCTCCTTTGTAATGATTCTAACTCCAAAATCCCTGAATTTGGTTAATTTCACTTAAAAATATATATCTTAAAAGCAATCTAGACTGAACTTACTGACTCATCACATCACTTACCTGGTTCTCCAAATTCCTCTAACATGTTTTAAAGACTCACAATAAACTTAACCACGCAGCATTAACCACAACGGATTCCAACATAATCTTCTTTTCTAGTTAGGTATTTCTTTCATGTTTCATACAATTCCCACCCCCTCCATCTGCCACTATTCCTATCAAAGTGAATGTTCTTTACACCTCTACAATAATCTAAATATTACCCACGGCTCCAAGAACTTCTTTTTTATAAAGATTCCTGGGTTCTAGTCCAAACTGTGGTCTTCCTTTATTGAACTACTATTGTACCAAGAGTCTTTACCACCTAATTTTGCTTTTTAATAATTTTTAACAATTATCATTTATCTATATAAACCAATAGTAAGCTACTTGGTGAAAAGAATAAGGCTTTATACATTTTACATCTCCCATAAATTGTTCAACACAGTGCTAGAGAAATTATCGGTACTCAGTGGATCTTGTTTATTGTATAAAATTCTTCCTTATCTACAAAGAAAGTTCATATAAAATGAATTGCAGGTAACTATCAGTTATATATTCCTATTTATTTCTACACAGTGATCACAAATGTGATCTTTAGAGTGCAAAATAAATTTTTAAATGGCCTTGAATACATCTCAAAACCATTGTGTAAAAAATGCTAAATGAATAGGCCATGCTTTCTCCTTGTTTATTCCCTATCCAATGATGCATCATCATGTCTTTTGAGTGTTTTATTCTTCGTAAAACAGAAAAGAAATATAGTAGGTTTCTCTTCATAGTAATACAGGGAAATGATTTTTCCTAGTTTGGTTAACCTGAATTGAAGAATGTAAAATAATGTTAGAGATTTCTATTGAGCAGAAATTTTGTATCTATACAATTTGTTTAATTTTCATGTCCAGACTAATGTCAGAATCAGAATTCCTTCCTACCTTAGTTCTATGCTCTATTTTCTGATATTGATATCTACTGATAGCTTCTGATAGCTTCTTTGATATTGATCAAAATACGATGATTGGCTTCATATTATTATCATTATAACCATTCCCTTTACATACTTCACATTGCTTTATTATTACAGGTATCAGGCCTATAAGATTCTTAAAAATATTGGCCAGAATAATATTATTCCATTTAAATTTTAAAGTAAATACACATTTTGTTAGCTTCTAGCAAAGTTTATTTAGCAAAATACTAAAACAATTATTTAGTGGAAACTTATTTAGCAAAATATTAAACGTAAATATTCAAGCAACAATTGCCAAATATGGGGGAGACAGAAAACAGGAATTAAACTCATGTGTTTATTTTTGAAATCTGCCAAATAAAATGAAGATTTGCCCTGTGGCTGACTGAGGGGGAACAACAACAAAGTAATAAAGGTCTATTTTCATTCTTTTTTTGTATCTTTGGAAGCTTAGCTTAAAATAGCCTAATATTAACAACAGATAAATTCCGAGGGATTTCTCTTCTTAATTTTTCACAAAATTTGCCAGAAAGATAATCTGTGTTTTTGGCCCAAATCATCATATGGTTCTTCCAAATTCTCCAGCTTCCCAGTCACATAACTCTTACTAACCCCAAGGAGCATGGCTTTGTTTTTGTGTAATACTGCACTTCCAGAGAATTCCTAAGAAATTATATTTAGAGGAAAGATAGATTAATTAGAAACTTTGCAGAGAAAATCTCTTCACAAAGAGTGCCTTGGACACCAAGTCTGATGTATGTACAGGACCAAAGCTATATAAAAAATACTAGCATGTTTCTTCTTTTTTTGCCAAACTAAAGAAATAAGTCAAGAGAATAGCCACTGTTAATCAAATGGGGACACACTGATAAGGTGGAAAACAGAAAGTCTCTTTGTAACAAAGAAGTTGCCTTTATTTACTGCATTTCTCCTTCCCAATTTACTTGATAACATTTTCTCAACAAAGCTACATATCTTTGAAAAAAGAATGGAAACTTCCAGAAAAAGTTTGCATTCCACATGTCATTATTGCCTTTTTCATAATATTGTCTTACCAAAACCATATTAGGTAAAATTCCTTTAGGCTTTGTGAAAGGGTTTGGCAAACCTTCTAAAGAAGTCCATTTTAATGCCACTTGCAAAAGGATAGGACAATCACACAAAACAAGTGCGCACATACCAACTGCTGTCATGTAATCCCAGCGCTCAATGAGGCACATGTTGAAGATGAGGTGATCAGATGTTTGCCCTTGGCCAATAAGTGAAATCTGCTTCTCCAAGTTCTGGCAAACAGATGAAGTCCAGCCAATGAGAAACCAAAATACTACCAGGAGTATTACTGCCAGCATCCTCATGACGCGTCCACCCGTCATATATGGAATCCGCTGGGCTGTTCGTGAAAGAAACACCTTCAAAACCCTGGAAAAGAAAGACATCAAAATGGGAAGGCAAATCTAACTCTCAGAAAGGAAAACTTTAAAATATCTCCTTTTTCTAGGAGAAATTTAAACCCACCAAAAGCTACTTCTGCACAGTTTTAATATGAGAATAACCAGAAACAGTATTGCTCATATTTTCACTTAATTTCATTCTAGTTTATCTTCCAGCAGCAGAACAAATATCCTGCGTTAGGGGCCAGTGAGTCAACAGATTTGTATAGGATGGAATTTTGAGCATGTCTTAATATTTCAAGGAAGGTTCTCAGGACTTTAGAAAGACCTGTAGGCAAACACTGCTCAAACAGGATTTCTGAGGGATCAAAAAATAGTCCTGAAAGTGGGTAGTTGGATTTTACACAGTTATAAGTCAAAAACTTCCTCGAACCAGTTATTGTTTTATAGTAGAATGTTATAAAAGCTGTTTTTATGAAAATCATTTTATATGACCTCCCTTCATAGTCATTTTATCACATTACCAAAACTAATAAAGAAATAAGTATGAAAATGATGGGGGGGAGGTGTTTAAATACTAGGGTAACTGAATGAGAGCACTGCATTAAGGAAGAAGATTGGGATGACCTAAGAAATGTAGTGATTTGAAAATGTAGTGACTCGAATAGCCAGACTTGGGAACTACGTTGCGAACTACTAGATTAGATGATGTCTAAGAACTATTTCATCTCTAAATATTGTGTGACGACAAAAATCCAACCTTACTATAGGGATCCTTCCATCCACTCATTCTTTAATTTCATCTCTAGAATATTCTCAGCTGATTTTAACTCCCCACTCCCATTCTGATATTTTATGTCACAAAATTATGACTTGACAAACCATCATGAGTGGTTTATGATACTATAAGGGTATCCATAATCAATTTCCAAAAGGCAAAATAAATTCATTTTCCCAACTTTCCTATTTCTTCCTGTCTCTCATTCTTTCAACATTTATGAATTCTTCATAAAATCACTATAAATCCAGAAGTGAAACAAACAGACCTGAAATAACCTAGATGCATTATGCTATTTTTTCTCTCTCTAGACCTTTGGTAGCTCTCAGTGAATTAACACAACACATCCAGTAAAGAAAGTTATTTTCCAGCAGATTCTTATTTATCCCATTTCCCACTATACCTTTAACTCATTGTCATTCAGCTAACACACAGGATGATGTTACTTAATTTTGAATAAAATACTTATCCTCAATTTTTCTGTGGAACAACGTCAGAAAGATATTAGTATAAAATAAGAGTACAACAGAAGATCTCTTTATTCTCCTTTTAACCAGTTCACTAGATTAACAGGTATTCTCCGTGCCCTTTGTAGAACATATCGAGTACCGCCCACGTCCTGCTGAATGCTGGCACTGGTGGCTAATGGGCTACGACTCTCCAGGTGTGCCTCAAACATTTCTCCTCCAACCAGTTGAATTGATAACTTGTTAAAAATCAGTTGCATTTGCCTCCAAATTATGTCCTTTGCTATCATATTATATAATTTAATTAAATTATAAATAAAATAATTATATATGCCTGTAAAACAAAAGGAGACTTATTTGTATAAAAATCTATCTTGAATGGTTTGGAAAGACTCCATAAATGTGAGTCACTAAAATAAGCTGTTAACTTAGGGGAAAGTGAGGAAATTTTAGTATATTGGGGTGGTCTATAACATAAAAATCTAGAAAGACTCTACACTCACTTTATTTCAAAAAAATTCTTTAGATTCTCATTCCCATTTAAAGAACCAATTTTGTAAATAGTACATACTGCATTGCCGTGATTTATGCTAGAAAGAGAACAATGCACTCCAAACATCAGACCCACAGCCAAAGAAAAGGCTTTATTTCAAAAGTATTGGTGAACGATTACTTGTGTTTTAAATTACAATGTCTACACATTTCTTTGATGCGTTTCTGCAATAAACAAATTCTAACCTTTGACCAACTATTAATCCCATAAGAAAGCTTCTACTTTAATCAGCAGATCAAAAGATTCAAAGAACTCTAACTTAGAAATGAGAGAGATTTCTTAAAAAATTAATATTTTTGCCAGTGTCAATCTTATTTTCTGTAGGAGAAACTTGAAGCCACTATGTACACATAATTGTTTCTTGTTATATCTAGATGAATTCTAAATTTTGAATGACTAAGATCTCAAAAGAGGGAATCTACCCCATTTTTCTGGTTTTCTATATTTTGGCTAGGGCAGAAAAAGAAAGAATTATTTCAAATTTTAGCTTGACTCAATGTGAATATCTGAAATATAATTATAAAAAGCAAACATTTATATAGTGACAACCATATGCTAGGTACCATATTAGGCAACATGGGAGGCATAAGATACAGATCTTATCTTCTAGAAGCTTACAATCTAACCAGAAATAAGTGTGCAAATAGCTACCATATAATGCAGCATATATTAGATGTCGTATGTAGCTACTAAGTCCAGTATCCTAACAGAATAGGTGGGATCTGATCTAGGCCTTGATGGATCAATAGGTAGAAAGGGAGGAAAGTAGAGAAGAGATAAGGACATGTTCTAGTTAATGGGAATCACACAACAAAGAACAAAGCAGGGAAATGTAAATTGTCGTTGAGGGACAGAGGGTGGAAATGTTTGGAAAGAGGGGAAGTTTTTTCCTTAACCCCCAGGAACTCAAGTTACTGTGAGGAGTTTTCATCAGGGTGAGAACCATGGCTTCAGAGACAAGTAGTTATGATTTATATTTTCTTTCCATCGCTAAGATGTGGGAAATAATTTATTTTTCTGGTACTTGAAGATTTTCACAATCGACATTGAAATTCTAAAACTCAAAGAGAGCTAATAGTGGATTTGTTAAATAACTGTCTCCTTCAAAATACTTCTTAACCAGATGAGTTTATTTTTTGCAGAGGAAATCCGTACGATCCCAGTTTGGCAATCTTCTAATCAAGAAATCCCACTTTTAAGTTATTAGAAATTTTCGTGTTTTACAGACGACCCTTTGGGTATTTATTGTATGGTCTGAGAATCCAAGACTGTCACAGATCCCCTAATCTCATTTCCAGAGGGGAAAACCAAAGCAGAAGCCCTGCTGTGTGCCACGTTATTGATTTCACTGGCTTTCAAACACCAGGAAACACAATAACACAACTCTGCACTCCAATCTAAGCAGTTCAGGATATTGGTTTCTGTAAAATGGAATAAGATGCATTTTTCTATCCTTGCCTTAAAATAAAAGGAGAAAATTCTACTATATCTTTAAAAAATGAGCTCCTGTTAGTTTGTCTGAGTTTACTCCTTAGAAACCAAGTTCTAAAAACAAAATCCCTAGACATGCATTTATATGAAATATAGCTGTGGAAAAAAAATACAATCATTAAACTTCTTATATAGATTACTTTTTCTACTAATAGTTTCATAGATAAATCTTTAGGCTACATCTATTCAGAAGGTTTCAGTATTTGTGAAGGAAAGCAGTAACATATATGAGAAGATTACAAGAAATTTCCAGAATTTAATATAAAATGGCATATTTAAAGTATACATTCAGTTCTCATTATTAATAGTAGACATATTCATGGAAATCATGATGAAACAATGAAAGAAAAGGGCAATCCAGGAATTGGCTGCCACTTTTTATCTGCCTCTGTTTTTTTACTTCCCACACATTTCTGATTTGAGCTCATTAAACTCCACTGCAAGGACTTGTACTTAGGTTATCAATTATCTTCTTCAAATATGTAATTGATACTGTTCACTCCTTATTTTACTTGATCTCGCTCCAGCTTTTGGCATGGCTGAAGCACTTGGCTTCCATTACGTCACATGTTCTTGATTTTCTTCCTAGTCCTCTGTCAGCTCTTTTTCAGTCTCTATTGCAGATTCCTCTTCCTCAGTCTTCCTCTTAAATGGCAAGTGTTCCTCAAGGATATCCTAAATGGTCATCTTCTATCCTTGCTCTACATGCTGTGCCCAGGCAATTCATCTACTTCCGTTTCAGTTATCTACATGCCGGAGAGTCCCAAATCTGTATCTTCAGTTTAGATCTCTCCTGAGCTCAATGTCTATACACTCAATGACCTACTGGACATCCATGGGTCCCCAAATAAAATCATCCCCCTCTCCACTCCTCCCTCCTCCAATCCACTCTGCTCTTGTGTTACCTATCTCAGCGACTAGTACCATCTAATTGCCCAAAGCAGAAACCTAAGAATGAACTTTGATTTTTCTCCCTCATCCACATTCCAGTCATCAAATGAATGAGCAAGAATTTAATTTCTCCGTCTTTAATATGTTTCAAATTCTTCTATTTTTCTCCACCTCATTGCCACTATATAGCTCCTGGCCATCAACTGTTCCTATAGTAGCTTCCTAACTAGTCTCCTGATTGGTCTTGCCCACCCTCAATCCACACTCTACACCGAAGAAACAATGATCTTTCTAAATTGCGCTTCTGATCACGTTGTTCCCCTGTTTATAGTCCTTCAGTGGCTTTCCACCCAACTCCTAGCTCCTTAGTAAGGTAAAAGGCCTTTAAAAATTGGTTCCTCCTTGCCTGAGGAAGACCCTCATCTCTCACCACTCTCCCCTTCCTACGGTCTTGTAGGTGCCTGTGGACTGTATGCAGGTGTCTTCCATCTGAACCGTTGCCCTCAGCTTTCCTCACTGCCCCTCCCCCACCAACACAAACACCTAATTTGGCTAATTCCTGCTTATTCCTTCATGGCTCAGTCACTTGCTCTAGGCCAGTGGTTCCCAACCAGTAGCATCAACATCATCTGGAAACTTGTTAGAAATGCAAATCCTTGGGTCCCATCCAGACCTACCAAGTCAGAAACTCTGGGGGGGAGGGCCCAGAAATCTGCATTTTAACAAATCCTTCAGGTAATTTTGACAAAGGTTACAGTTTGAGAACTGCTGCTCTAAATAATATTTCCCAACAGGCCTAAGATTGGTGCAGATGCCTTCCCAATGAGCTGACTAATCTAGCCTGTCGG